TTGCTTTCATTTGCTGCAAAACTGAATAAAATTCCAAATTATAACTCTCTCTTATCATTTAATATTATTTACTATCATTGATTATTGATCGCTGTGAAAAAAAGAAAAGAGAAATGAGAATTTACTGAAATTAATCGAAAACTTAAAGCAAATTAAATGCGAAACACGTGAGTAACAGTTGGAATTCAATATTTACATTTTTTTTTTGCAATTTATAATTAATGCCAAATTTTAATCTCAAATATTTGTTTACCAAAATTGTTTGATGAAATTTGTTACATCAATTTATATGATAATTTAATCGATATATTACACACCATAACTTCTTAATTTGTAATGTTTATTGTACATTAAAATAATAATTTAAAAAAATTAAAAAATAATAACTTTTATCTTTCCTTTTTTCAATTGCTAATAAATATTAGTTTTTGAGTTTATATCGTACACCTTGAAAATACTTCAATACTTGAATGTAAAATAATTTTTAAGTATTTGCAATATTTATGTGCTAGAGAATGATATAAAAAATTTATTCAATTCTTTGGAAATGATTGTTAGCAAAAAAAAGAAAAGAGGAAATGTCATTCAAATAAATTGACTATTGTTTTAAATTTTTTTTATTTTAAATTTTTCAATTAAAAAAATCAATTTAGCATCTTATTATTTAAATCATTTTTTTCTGGTTGCATATGAGAACTCAACCTCCCAAAAACAAAAAGATTCAACCAATTCGCTTTATAAAAAATAATTTCTTAAATACGCATCCATAATATCAATCATTCTCTTTCCACACCTAATGCTATTTCTTTTTCAAAAAAGTCTGAAAAATATTTTCTAAATTAATCGAAACTCTCAAGTCAACTATAAATCACTCAAAGTAATTTTAGATGGAACAATTTCTTTTAACTTATTCCGTTTCGCTATCTGAAAAGATTCACATCATCGCTTTCATCGATTTATTCCATTCTTTTTTTGGTTCACTGCAAAAACTACAATAATACTATGATAAATTAATATTACTATCATTAATCATTCCTAATCGTAATGGTTGAAGGTAACCATTTCAAATTATTTAACTTTTTTTTACAAGCATTTAATCAAAATTATCCCTGTTGTAATTTGGTAAGATAATTTATATTAATTTGTACATATTCAAAGTTTAAACCATATATATTGATTTTTACATATTCAAAATTCATAAAAATGTTTTTTTAATTAATCAAATCTCTAAAATTTGTGTAAGATACATATTAATTTGCATTTCAAAATCATACTTATTTTCATTTTATATCAAATCCTCATTTATTTTTATACTATTTTATTTCATATCATCCAATCCTACCTTCATTTTATACTGTATTCATATCTGTTTGAAATTCATTACAAATACTTATCCATTTTTACTTCATTTCTACTTCTCGACCATTCTTCCTCCATGCAACATCTCAATACTATTCTTTGTTTCATTTCTTTATTTATCCACCCATACCTACTAACAAAATCTTCTTATTCGTCTTTTTCTCTTGTAAATATGTTTAATTTTTGGAAGAAAAAAATTTTAATAAACAAAGAAAGAACAACAGAAGTAAAAATTTCGTTTCACTTTTTTGTGTTTTTTGCTTTCTTTTATTTTAATTTCTTTTTGTCAAAGTATTGCATTCAATAACGGCTAAAAAATAAAAAATATGGAAGAAAAAATTAAATTGAATTGAAAAATAAAAACTGGTATGTTATATGATAAATATGTAAAATGCGTCAAAGTTATTTGGCACATCATCCCTTTTCAGAATGTGATTATTCAAAANNNAAAATGGTCAATAATGGCATCACATTAAGGCATCTAATTTTCTCGCAACCTCTCTCTTACTCCCCCGCTTCCTCCCGCTTTTCATTTTTCCTTATTCCATTCCTTGCTTCCTTTATCAAGACCAAAACCAATTTTAGTATTATATGCTTTCATCTCCTTTCACAAAAATGCAATCTTCAATTCACTTACAATATTCATTACCAATAATAATTTTTTCTTTCCTGAGAGGTAGTAAACGCGGGATTCTCATAGTTCATGTAATGAATGGTTACAATTTTTAAGAACATTTTTCAGCTATTTTTTTTTTCTAGCAAATAAACCTTTATTGGATTTTATTAATATATGCTTTAGTTGCTTTACTGTAAAGTGTGCATAAAACTTTTTAGTAAAATTTTTAAAATTATTTATTAACGCCAACGCAATCATTTCTCAATTTAGAATTTTTGTTTATTGCTGAAAATTTTGATACTTATTAGAGATTCATGAAAAATCTTAATTGATATATGGCACTGATTAAAAGATATAACTGATAGTCGTTAGTCTTTTATACGTCATCAAATTATTTCAATTAATTTAAACGGAAAAAAAGTCCAACTATGAATGAAATAGGTATTGCAATTTGATAAATTTGCAATGTAAGCAAAAAATTTGCAGGTAATTTTTTTAGTAAGTGAGCATTACTTCGTTATCACTGATTACTTATCTTTTTAAAAAATACTGAAATTGACTGAATTGATAGTTCAACTAATAGAAGAACAATCTTTAAAATTGAGTTAGATAATATGTTTTTTCGGTGCAGTTTATATTTGATTTAATAAGAAAATTTTGTAAATATTAATATTATTCCATTCTTCAGATTACGGGATGTAAGATTTCAAACTTCTGAAATTATTTGTGAAATTCTGATGTTTTGCAGTGATGCGTATGAGTGAATTTCAATTAAATTAATCAATAATGGCGTATTTTACTATATGATTAGAATTAAACAAAAAAATTTACACGATTTGTTTTCCTATCGCAACTACTGTACAGAACAAGAAAAAAAAGATAATTATCAAATAAAAGTTTTTTATTTTTTACATTTATTATTGCTACTGCTACATTTATTTTACTTCCTCATGATATTTCAAACTAATTTCACTACTTGTTTTATTTTTTGAAACCACATTTATACAATTTTTACCTGTTAAATTTCCTTTTCCTTTGTTTAACAAATTATACAATTTTTGTTCTCTTGATAGTTTGACCAAGTGATGAATGGAAAACTTTTGACTGAGTAATGAATTGAGCTTTAATCATTTTATATTTAATGAATACTTATCCATTTCACCTACCTTAATTTGCTCGGGAGTCCCTTTATTTTTAATTTGCATAAAATTTAAAACTGTCACGAATTATCAGAAGAGTCACTAATATGATTCAGTAGTTGATTCCGATTCGAATAATTCCGGTTGATTGGCAAAATTTGTGTATTTGATGAGAGTTTCGCTAATACAAAATAAAATCTATTTGCTATATGCACTAAATGTTCCAATTCTTCATCATTGAAACTAATCAATTGTATTTATTCAATTTTTCGACTTTTAAATCATTCGTTCAAATAAGCAACCTGAAACAAATTGAAGAATTCAACAAGTAATAAAAGGAAATGAAAAGATGTGATGATGAAATAACATAATTAATACAATATATGTTATACCAGAGAAATATTATAATTTCAATTTAATTCAAGGAATTGCATAAATTATTTTGTATCATGTAATTATTAATATTTAATTAATCTTTTTGCTTCCAATTTCAATTTCTTTTCTCAATTTCTCCTTTATTCCTCTCACTTGTTTGTTTATTTACTTCTAATAATACAAATATTACTCCTTTTTAAAGCACAAATTGCTAATTCGATTTAGTTATTTTATTTTTTAATGGTAAAAAAGAAACGAATTTTCATCAAATTTTAATACTTATGTTTTAAAAATTTTTATGTACATATGTTTTTTTAGTAGTCATTGTTTCGTCAACATGCCTGAATTTTATTTAATTTTTTTTTGTTTAAAGAAATTTATCATAAATTACCTTCTTAGAGAGACAGTTCAATTGCTTGACATACTGATTAGTAATAGATGATGGAAAAAGAAGAACTATGTGAAAATGAATAAATTTGCATAAATTACAGAAGCGGACAGAGGAGAAAGAGAGAGACGGACGGATAAGGAGAGGTAAAATTGTGGACGCAATATTTCTTTCCTTTTTTTGCCACTCTATTTCATCCCTAACTAGTAGTCACAGCATTTTATTCAAAAAAAAGATAAAAAAAATTTATTTTTTGAAAATTGAAATTTTCTAAATATTTCGAATTTTTAACAATTGTAAATAATTTTATAAACGTTTATCAGTTAAATTATGTAATTTTTATCATTTATACATTGAATTTAGCATTGGTAGACAGATGGCAAAAAAGGAGAAGATTTTTTTGACAAATAATTCATTGGTTTTATTATTTTTTTGAGTAACAATATATCATTGATTATTTTTTATTCTTATGTGTAAGAATATATTATATATTCTTACATAAAGAATAACTATATACTTATATATAGGAATATATAACTACATAGTCATTCAATTTCAGCAATGAAAATTTTTATTTTGATAAATTTCTTCAAATTATCAGGTGTACGATTTGAAGTAAGAAAAGAAAGATGAGAAAAATGGAAAAATTTTTTGAATCATTTTAATATCTGCAACAAAAATAATATTTTCATAAAATGTGTTCAAAAAAAATGTGTCCAAATTAAACTCTGATTCGAGACGTTTAAATGAAATTATCGAGATTCATCCTGATCTATATAGGTTAAATTTTAAAATTTCAATATAATTCTCACTAATGATTATGCTATTGTAAATCATTTAATGTTATTGCTATTATCGTTACTTATCATTATAACAGTATCATCGACATTATTACCACCACTGTTTTTTATATTCTTATAAACAATAAACCAATCAGCTTTCATTCTCACAACTCATCCATCTTTTCTCATCTAACCTTTGACCCTATTTTTCTTATTCTTTTCCATAGATCATATCAGAAATTACATACGCAGAGGGTGTGGCATCTCAATGGTATCCGGTAGTACTCTCTCTCTCTCTCTCCCCTTCACTCCCAATCATTCACCCACCCACACAGAGCTACCTACCAATCACAGAATTCCTTGAAAGCAACAGCATCCATCAGTTACCTCCTCCTTTTCCCATGTTTATCAATATAGGTGAGGAGGTGGTATTAGCAGAGGTCTGTGTATGTCTGTTCATATATAGAGTATTTCCGAATTCTCTCTTCTTTCTCTCTCTCGCTCTCTCCCTCTCTCTTCTCAGCTCTCTTTTCCTCTTTCTCTCCTGAAAAACTACCATAGGGTTTGGTTGTATTTGTTCCAATGATTTCGGATTGTCTGATACATCATCATCATCATCATCATCATCACCAACATCATCACCAACATCATCATCATCAACATCACGATTTCTATCACTGTTACTATCACTGTCACTATTACCAATTATTACTATTATTACTGTCATTATCATCATCATCATCATCATCATCAGTATTATCCAACTGTGCAGAAGAGGACTGATTTCGGAACCATTTCTGCTATCGGAAACAAAATCGAAGAAGTTTAACCGGATCGGCTACTTTTTGTTTCGCTGTATGTGTATGTGTTTGCATATGTCTATGCGTGTGTGCGTGTGTGTGTGTGTGTGCGTGCGTGTGTGCATATATGTATGTTGATTTCAAGCCATAATAAAGAGGGGTGGAATTGAAGCAGAACCATCACCGAAAGCATCACCATCTCATTTACATTGCTGATTATTCACCGGAAAAGTGTTCCGATTTTGCACTGCCGGTTTTCTTCTCTTTTACTTCCATTTCTAACTTATTTGACATTACGTTACCGTTACCGGACATATTTAGCGTACGTATATAAACGTAAAACGTTAATATTCTAAAGAAAAAGACAATTTTTTTTTTCTTCCAATCTTTTCTATTAATCGGCAATAAATACCATCATCATCAATAGCGACAACAACAAATTGTCAACAATAAATAATATTTATTCAATAAAATTATTTTAATATGCTAAATGTTGTCAGTACCATCATTCTCGGCATCACAATCCAATGATGAGCAGCAGCAACAACAACAACAACAACAACAACAGCAGCAGCATCAGCATCAATCGGCGCTTGTTATCAATATATCGAATAATATACGATCAACGGATAACAACAGTAATAATAACAACAATAACAACAACAATAGTAATAACAGTAACAATAATGGCGCCAATGATAGTGCTACTGTTAGTACCAGTAATTATACTCAGGTTATTAAACCAACATGTGAAGCATTTCAAGAATTAAGCGAACGATGGCCACCACCACCACCACCACCACCACCACCATCATTACCATCATCATCATCATTACCACAATCATCATTATCATTACCATCAACGGCAACTATGCCACAATCGGTATTACAACCTTATCAACCACATTCTGTTACTGCTACACCATTTCAGTTGCTATTTCCGCCATCTCAACCAGATTGGACAACCTATCATGAGCATCATCAGCATCATATTCATCAACAATTATTACATCAACAACATAATCAACAACACCAACAACAACAGCAACAGCAGCAACAGCAGCAACAGCATCATCATCAACAATTATCATTAATGTCCATTCCGCAAGTAATTCCGTCATCACATCTTGCAAATACCGGTATAATGGAAATGAAGCAAGAACCGGAACGTCCGGATGTCATACAGCGTCTTTCTGCTGCTGCACCTTCATCATGGCCTTATGCATTTGCCCAAGAAGATTTGCCACTCTCATCATCACAACTTGCTGATGAAACGGATTCCACGTGTTCTGAAGATTTGGAAGCATTTGCAAAAACTTTCAAACAACGTCGTATCAAACTTGGTTATACGCAAGCTGATGTTGGTTTAGCGCTTGGTACTCTATATGGTAACGTATTCAGTCAAACTACCATTTGTCGTTTTGAAGCATTACAATTAAGTTTTAAAAATATGTGTAAACTAAAGCCATTACTGTATAAATGGCTTGAAGAAGCTGATTCTACCAGTTCCTCACCAAATAGCGCTTTTGAAAAAATGACAGGACAAGGTGGTCGTAAGAGGAAAAAGCGAACATCAATTGAGGTACAGGTGAAAAGTCGCTTGGAATATCATTTTCAGAAAAATCCTAAGCCAAATGCCCAAGAAATTGCTCAGGTTGCAATGGAGCTACAACTGGAAAAGGAAGTGGTTCGAGTGTGGTTTTGCAATCGAAGACAAAAAGAGAAGCGAATGACACCTCAGTATGGTCAGGAACTTTTATTAAATCCTAATAATTATCCACCGGATACTTTTGTTTACACATAGTTCCGTTTTTATTTTGTCGAGACATAAATATTTTTCTCGTTGTTGCTTTGCGATTCACATTATTAAATGCGTCAAATTTTAGACAAATATTTTAGCAATATTTTTTTGATCAGAATTTTATTGTGCTAAAATTATTTGTTCTCATTTTTTAGCAAAAATTTTTTTTAATTTTGCAAATTTTGATTGCAAAAGAGTAAAGAATTTTATGGAAATTTGAAATATTTTAACACGTTGATAATAGGATTGCAATTTTTTTCCGTTGATAAAAACTAACAAAATGTTTAACATTTCAAATATAGTTTTACAGTAGTTTAATCCGGCTTTTTGCTAATTAGTTTTATTGCGATCTCTCCTTCTTATTCCATTTGCTCCGGAAATTCAATCAATTTTGCTAAAAATTAGAAATATCGCAAAACAACAAATAATACATTTGTTAATTATTCGTTTCATTCCATTACTAAATTGTTTTGTAATGTTTAAATCAAATTTTAATTTGATTTTTGTGACCGAAAATGTTTGTGATAATGATTTTATATGTATTAAAAGAATTAGCGAAAAAAAAGCTTTTTAATGAATTTCTAACGAAAATCTCGGTGGTTTCATTTTTATTGAAATTATGTCACTTTGACTACCATCCATCAACCTTTATCATCCTTTGAAAAAAATCTTTTCAATGCTTGATTTATTTTTAATGTTAGATTTTAAAAATTTTGATTTTTATTAACCTATTATTTAATTTAGCATCTAATTGATACTAATCGAATTTTCGTAGTCCATACTTTTGAAAACAAGTCAGTGCAGCAGAAATGTTCTCTTCTTTGTTGAAGTTGAACTTCTGAATACAATTGAACGAATGTTCATCAGATTGAAAATCTTTTTAGCTTCATCATTTTTTCCACTCTCACATCTCTTTTTATCGTTCAAGGTTTATCATCGTCAAAAATTTTTGGTCAACTTTTAAATTATTTCTAAGAAAATGATGCTTGCGTGATAGCGTTGATTTGTTTGGAATGAATTTTTTGCTTCCATGAATTTTTCAAGCCATTATAAAAATTAGTTCTTACTTAAAAACAACAAATGGATTACTTTATTTATTATTTTACCCTGAAAACCGGTGTTATTCTTCTGTCTTTGTTTTTTTTTCTGCTTTTTTTCTAATTAATTTATGTGCATCACATTATAACTCCCAAACAGTTGATATGTAACAAAAATTGATCTATACATGTATACATATATATTTTTGTGACATTTTTTGAAAATTTAAGCAATATTCCATTTTTTTTATTTTCTTCTTGACCATCAAATTTGTTCGATAAATTTTTAAATTTGAAACTAATATTTCACATAAATGACATCATAGCAAAATCTGATTGAAATTTTACTAACAGATTCGTGATGAAGTAGAGTAATTGAGTAATGAAACTAATCAGAAATGAATTGAACTTAATTTGATTGAGTAAAATTAACTTATTCAGAGTATTCCATGTCCCTTTTTTGTTTTGAAATGATACGCAGTTTTTTATTGCATGAATAACTGTGACGAATTTTTGCTCAGTTTACTTTGTTTAAATATTTTTTTAAAATATATTTTTGATTTTTGCATAGGCATTATATTTTTCATGATAAATTATCTTTGGTCTTTTACTAAAGCTTATGACAAATTTTGAATCTTTTTTTAAGTTTAATCGGACAAAAAGCGTGTGTAAATTTTAATTTTAAGGAATGATTTCTTTTTTGTAGCACAAAGATTTGAAATTTTTTCTCTGCAAAATTTATTAAATCTTTAAAGGGTTAGCATATTTTATATTAAGTAATTCTGTTGCCGCATATATCATTGTAATGATTCATAATATATTATTTTAATTTCTGTATAATGATATGTAAATGATGATAAGTATGAAATGTGAATAGCATCGTTGACTTTATAAATGCGACAACATTTTTTACAATATGCGCGCATAATGAATAAACTTGCAAATAATGAAATTTGAAAAAGCACTTTCAATTTAATAATTTTTTTTAATAATTATATTTAAATTT